ACAATTATTTTTAGCTTATTTGGCTGTAACGGCGTCATTCAACTACACACTTCAGTCTGCCTTTTTCCTTGGTATCCTGGTTCATCGCCCTGTAGATTTGAATTTGCCGCAAGTGTTCATTTTAGTGTTCACATCATTTATCTTTATTTTACTCTGCAACTTGTGTGCATGCTGCAATTTTATTCTACCTAATTAGGTGTAGCGAGTATCTGAATCGTCGATCTCACAAATTTTTAGAGAATATTGTCTGAGTTTGATTTCACTTAGGGCGATAGATTTTAGCGTTCTTGCATGGGGTGCAAATGCAATAAAGACCATGGAAAGAGCTTCATACTTTCGGCGTACGGTTTAGTGCAGCGAGACTGGGTTTAACGTTCCCAGATCGTTCTAGTAGGTTTTGTGCTCGACACTTGGTACGAAATTATATGTTATTTGGAAGTTCGCACTCAAACCCCGTTCGGATGCAACCATTTTTTGAACTCCCTATGCACTGATTTTCATATAGATTAATTTTTCTTTGATGCATATCATAAAAGTAAGTTGGCTCGACACTGAACGAACATCTACAACGTACTCCATTAAATTAATTTTAAATTGAACAATTTATCATCGGAAGGGCGTTTGTTTCGTTTTAGAGCAGACAGGCGAGGTTCTTCGCAATCGTTATGGAATGAAAATTTGTCACCTTTTTACCTATGTTGACCGTGGAATTTTTTCACTGAAAAGTTCATAGTAGAGTAAGTGCAGTGCAATGCGTCTAATTCTGTATGACAGAAATTAACATTCAAAACTGGCCTCGTACATTACTCGATTTTTTTGCGATGATTCAACTACTACTCTGCAGATGTTAGTGATCACGAGCCCAGGTGTCTTAATTTTCTAGGAATTATTCAGCCCATGATGTATCTTTGCTGCCCCAGAATTTCGTCGCAGGATTCTAGGACGTGTTGACGATCCTTCGTTTTACGGTTAATAATTTTTGCACCAGATACCTGCTGGGTCGCCACAAAATCTTGGGCGAGATTCCTTCGCTCGTTGAGTCCGCTCGTGCTGCAACAACCCCAATGCGTTGGGGAACTATTAGTTTCTCACTGACATGACTCGATCCTAGTGGGGGCTCTAATTTGTTGAAAATTTCCTGCCAAATATATAGAAGCCATATTTTGATGAATTTATGTGTGATGCCGTACAGTCGAATTTTCTGAGATAATCGCTGAACTGAATCCATTGAAAAGCTGTTAAGGGGACCGTCTACCCCTAAATTTTCAATTTTGGCGTTTTCCGGTTTTTGTGCTCATCTTAAAGCTTACTTTCTGACGCATCGAACGGTACCAGAGTCATCTCTCTACGTCGAAAAATGATTTCGTGACAGCTCCCTAAAGGGGGGCGGTTTTGAGGGCCCTGCAGTAAAGTGTATGGGATTAATTCGAAGGCTGGACACACTAAAAAGGAACGTCTGACGTGAAGCGGCCAATTATGGCATTATCCGGTGCTTATACTCATCTTAAAGCTTGCTTTCTGACGCGTCGAACGGTACCAGAACCATCTTTCTACCTGCATTTTGACGTACACGACGCGACGTGGAATGGGGCGCGGTATTGGGCGGCCTTCACTAATTCCTATGGGCGTAATTCGAGAGCAGGACTATAAATATAGCCTGCTACCGCCAAAGCAGTCAGTGCCCATCATGACAGCGAGGTGAGAGGTATGCAGCCAGTCGCTCTATGCCTCGCTGACTTGGTTTGAGGCTTAATTACGGTATCTAGGCTACGTTACGACTCTTTTACGTCCCTTTACTTGCCGCGCGGCAGTTTTTTGGGCGTGGTGAAAACCTATTGCTCTCACGGCAAACCTATCTCGTCCTATAGTTTTCAAGCTACAGCAATGAGACAAATACCATTCGATTCCTTTAAGACCATACCTATCGACTCTAAGATAATTTTTTGGAATTTGTATATGGTTCGTCTTATATATGGGGGAGAAGGGGGGGGGGAAGGGGGAAAAATGAGAAAAATGAAAAAAATGCGCATAAAAAAAACTATGGGGAAAATGAGAAAAGTGATCTTAAGAGTCGATAGGTATGGTCTTTATGAATCGAATGATACGTGTCTCGATGTTGTAGGATGATATTTGTAGGAGGAGATAGATTTTCTAAAGTACCCGTTTTTAGCCGTTTTCTATGAATTTCACGTTTTCTATCAATATTTTCAAAAAATTCAAAGGAGCAAAATGTTATTTTTTTACATTTTACGTGTGTATGTGAAGTTTCACATGATCGGATAATAACTGTAGAAGTTTTTAAGGAGGGTAGATGGTCTCCTTAATCGTTGGCGCGTTACCTTCATTTATTTTCAGTTGCGACCGCTTCCGATATTCTGGCGCTATGCCACTTGAATTTTAAAGACGTCACTCTTTAAAAAAACAATTCCCATGTAATCCATTCGAACGCGAATGTTTCGGCATCTGTTTTAATCCCCAATAAGCACAGAAGTGTTGGATGTTTTCTCTTCCCTTCTACATATCATTTGTTGGGGATGTGGTGTTCAATATTATTTTTGGTGTTGTATAGGTCTAGAAATACCGTCGCGCGCATTCCTTTTGTACTGCCACCATCGATGCGGGTAGTCGTAAATAGCGTTGGTATTACACCGTACCTAATGTGCGTTCTGCGTTAAGGAAGCATATATTCTAATTTGGCTATTAAAGTCCAAGACGTGATAAGATACCGTTCACAGTTACGATACACCTGGCGCGAAACGCTGATATGTTTTCCCTAACCAAGCTGTTTGTTCAGATTGTAGGTGGTTAGACTCTTGACGTTCAATGCCTTCTTTGTTGCTCGTGAACGGGGTCTGTGTGAAGTTCTCCACAGATTATCGTAGCTTACTCGCTTGTCGAATTTACTCTTATGCTCGTAATTTTGTTAGGTAGCATCCTTATGTTTGATTTATTCCATCGTTTAATAACAAGTCGCTCATAATTTCTTCGGTAGTGAGTAGAACGACTCTCCTGATCAGATTTTCTGAATTACGGTGTGCGCCTTGAACCATTAGCTAAATGTTTCTTTTTATAGGTTCCGCAATGTTGCTTATGCTTGCGTAAAGGTTTTTTAATAAATGAGTGTGTGATTCAGTTTGGATTTCATCATTTGAGTCATGAATAGCCTTACTATCTTGCAATGATAGGCAATGAAATGCTTTACATCAGACTAGACTCCCTATGTCCACTGACCTTTTCAGCTGAAGTCGGGGGTATGCAGCGGAACCTGATCTACACCAGTCAGAATAATGGCGGTTGAGACTGGTAAATGTGTATTGGTAAATTTCACATAGAAAATTATAGAATTATCTTCTTGAGGATCTCGAAATTAGGCAATTTATAGCGGGAAACTATTTGAGAATGTACTGCGCCATTGCAAGCAGGTTTTTCGGTATACGCATGCCTTGCATGGCAAGCACATTGTCAAGTTATTATTAGGTGCTTCATGCCAATAGTTGATTTTTTTATGTAGAATATAACTTTTGGATCATAATTTTTTATGTATTATTAGTTGCAGTTCATTTTAACCCGCCAATAATAAACGCATTAGGTATTTGAGTGTACTGTTTGAATTCAACGGTGGGCCGCTGGGCTCAGGTGGCTGGCGTGTGGGTACAGTTGCAAGTCATTATTGGACTATCTTGTATCAATAAGTTAAAATGGTCAACACTAAATTGTTCACGGCTTCGGAAGTGTTAGCTAACTTCCTGATAACCCTTGCCCACCACATTTTGGCAGCCACTGCATCATGCGATTTCCCCATTTCTAAAACCTTCGTCATAAAGATTTCCCCTAGCCCGTTCTTTTTTGATCGTTGGTATTTACTCTAAAGGGATTGATTCTGTACAGTTTTTTCCTAGATATTTGCATTCTCTGTACGTTTCTTCGAGGTGGAATGAACTGCGCTATCTAGTGTCATCTGGTGTGGGGATTCCAAGCTTTCTCGTATTGTGTATCGCGTTCAGCTTTTATGATATATGTGGCGTCATATACGCACGTCATGTGACGGTGAGGTATAGTGCCCTCGATGCCTGCTCTCGCAAGTGCAGAGAAGCATCTATTTTGGTGCCGAGGTTAAGGTGAGACGTGGCATGGCAGCTATCGGGATCTCGCGTGCAGTTGTAAACAGCCTGAGCTGCTAGCACCAGCGCTTGGCCGCGCAGAGCAGCAGCTCGCTCATCTCCCTAGCTGCTGCCATGAGTCTCCTCACTTTAGACTTGCTCGAAAGGAAGTGTGAGCCTTACCGTTTCCTGAACGTCCTTGAAGACTGGGAGCTAGAAGACCACGATGAAGATGCTCTTACGGATGAGCAGTTAGAGCCTCAGTATGTGGATGACGATGCAGACGAGCTTGAGCGCAGGAAGCGAGGTAAGGAACTTTGAACTTTCTATCATCGAAATGAAGTTCTTCCTCGCGTATTGCCCAAGTTCTCTGTAAAGCTACCTACCCTGTTGTTTTTTTCTAACTATCCACGATCTCCATTTGTTTACCTTTGGAGGTCTCGAGTTTCTCGCCAGCGATGTTCTTCACTAGTGGAATAAGGCATACCGAGGTCTCGATTATCAGATTCGTGTGGACGTCGATGGGAATTCCGTGTCGAATTGTACTCGTTGAACTAATGGGTCGTGTATGCGCGAGCACGTCCCGTGTACGTCTCTCCCTTGCGACTCTAGCTGTGACACCTTCGGCGTGTTGGCATTGTCCTGAGTGTCGTGCTGCCCGTCACGTCACTGCGCAGTTTGCTTGCTCGATTTTCCCGTAATTATAGTCACAGTATTTCTTAGGATTCAAGATTTTTTCGTTATCTCAAAAGTTTACCAGTTTTTTTTTGGATCACAGGAATATTTTCTTTAATTTTTCTTGGTTCTTCAAGTTAATCCATAGACTTTCACATGTTTAACTCGTGACCTCATTATCCTGGATATGAATTTTGTGATGGAACTTGAGTTTTTCTGTTGCAGGTAAGGATGGCAACAAAGTCACTACCGTGGTTGCAACCGCCGGGCAGGGCTCGGACAGACCACAAGAGGTGTCCTACATGGACACTAAAGTCATAGGCAACGGCTCCTTCGGCGTGGTCTTTCAGGCTAAACTCGTAGAGTCTGGCGAACTGGTGGCTATTAAGAAAGTGCTTCAAGACAAACGCTTCAAGGTGCTCTATTCGCGCAGTTCTTAACACTAGTTCTTATTAGTAAGATTCTCTTGACATTTGAGTATATTCAGACATGAGTATGTATTTCTTACTCTTTTTTTCAAACTTCCAAGTGGAATACGCCTGACAATATCCGATTTGCATAGACTTCTACTAACATGAATTCTTTCCGCCATTAGCACAATCTAATGTTCGATTGGATTATTTTTATACCGTTTCATTTATACTACTTGTACTGAATTAATTTTACAATGATCTAAACATATCAGCCTAAAATCTGATGGTAGTTTGCTCTCTTATTCAATTCTTTATCATATAGGTAGACCTGTCATCATAACTTTATTTGAACCGAGTTAATCCTTACTGCAATTGCACAGCAAATGTGTTCGGTATTTGCCGTATTGATAATTCCGTTATCATTGACACCATTTCCTTCACTACCAACAGAATCGCGAGCTACAGATAATGAGAAGACTGGAGCATTGTAATATAGTCGAATTGAAATACTTCTTTTATTCCTGCGGGGACAAGGTGAGTGGGTTTGCTTTACTGAGCGTCTCGATGCCTCGTGTATCAAGCTGGTTTTCTTGTTGACAGGCAGCGAGCTGGTATTTTTTTTTGCTAAAAATTACGGACTAGACTAAAATTCTGTGGAATTGATGCTATGTTGTATATGACTAGTGATGTGGTGATACTTCATTGATCTTATTCATGATACATCATTGATCTAAGTCACGATACATCATTGATCACAGTCATGATAGATCATTGATCACAGTCACAATACACCATTGATCACAGTCATGATCATCATTGATCACAGTCATGATCATCATTGATCACAGTCATGATGATCATTGATCACAGTCATGATCATCATTGATCACAGTCATGATACATCATTGATCACGGTCATGATACATTATTGATCACAGTCATGATACATCATTGATCACAGTCATGATACATCATTGATCACAGTCATGATCATCATTGATCATCATTGATCACAGTCATGATAGATCATTGATCACAGTCATGATAGATCATTGATCACAGTCATGATACATTATTGATCACAGTCATGATACATTATTGATCACAGTCAAGATACATCATTGATCACAGTCATGATTGATCAAAGTCACGATACATCATTGATCACAGTCATGATTGATCAAAGTCACGATACATCATTGATCACAGTCATGATTGATCAAAGTCACGATATATCATTGATCACAGTCATGATTGATCAAAGTCACGATATATCATTGATCACAGTCATGATTGATCAAAGTCACGATATATCATTGATCACAGTCACGATACATCATTGATCACAGTCACGATCATTGATCATAATACTAATGCTTCATTTCCTAAATAACTGATGTCATGTATTCTATTTTTTTCCGCAGAAAGATGAGGTCTTCTTGAACCTTGTACTAGAATATGTACCAGAGACCATTTATAAGGTAGCCAGGCATCATAGTAAACAAAAGCAAACTATACCTATCAGCTATATTAAGGTGAGTGCTATTCCACAGTAATACATGTAAATAATACTAGCTCTTTGCTTTAGTTCTATTTCTTGAAAGTTATCTGTACGATGTTCTGACGACATTTCTTTGAAGTATTACTTCAATATTTTATGCTGACGGCATCTTATGTACACAATCCTTTGACTCTTTTAGTAGTGCTTAAGTTCGTGGATTGAAAGTAATGGTGTATTTTGTTGTGCGGTGTGCAGTTGTATATGTATCAGCTGTTCCGGTCATTGGCTTATATTCACGCACTGGGCGTGTGTCACCGAGACATCAAGCCCCAGAATCTGCTGCTCGATCCTGAGACTGGAGTCCTGAAGCTATGCGACTTTGGTAGCGCCAAGCACCTTGTCAGGGGCGAACCCAACGTCTCCTACATTTGCTCCCGGTACTACCGTGCTCCAGAACTCATCTTCGGTGCCACTGATTACACTACCAATATTGGTGAGTATTCTATTGGTTATCTCTTAACAATACAGCGGGTATATCCCTTTTATGGCACAGGGGAAAAATTAGTTCTTCAAGAGATGTTCTTGATTGTTAACTGCCGTCGTTATTCCACTTGTTAGACAATTTTAACTAGATTTGGTCTATAAAATATTTTCACTCGATTATTTTTGATTCAATATTTGACAGCAATTTGCCAGGTTTTGCTCCTTCTGACCAAGAAGAGTGTATTGGGCACCTATGAATGTATGGGAGGCTGACACAGCCAGTTGTTGTACCTCAGATGTGTGGAGCGCCGGTTGTGTTTTGGCCGAACTGCTCCTCGGCCAGCCGATCTTCCCTGGTGACAGCGGAGTTGATCAACTGGTAGAGATCATCAAAGTTTTGGGGACGCCCACACGCGAGCAAATTAGAGAAATGAACCCTAACTACACAGAGTTCAAATTCCCGCAGATCAAGAGTCACCCCTGGCAAAAGGTGAGATGAACAGCGCTATTGGTGAAGGGCATCGCGCGGATGAAGTCTCGTGGCCATGCATGGAAATTGTACCACTTATTGCAATCTGAACGTTAACACTAACTTCAGTGCTGAAGTTTATTACTTTAATATATAGCTAGATTCGATTATGCATTCGTCAAGAAAGCTAAAGTTATTTCTACGTTTTTCAACGGGATCAGTTGTTATGGCACAAAGACGTCACGAATAATTCAAGCAGTTTATTTCAAGTGAAATTTTGTTGCCGTTACTTTCCTCTGCTTGCCACGTCTTCATGCGTCTGATGCACTTCTTCTCTTGTGTTATTTTTAGGATTTTTTTTCCATTTTCATGCCTAGTGAGATGTGAAAGGTAAGTGTGAATTATTTATAACTATATCGAATTTATATTGGACGAAATTTTTCTGTTATTAAAGAACGAAACAATGATGGGAAAATTGCTTTTTCGTATACAAGTTACACGTTTGGGCCGGCGGTGGTTATTTTGATGGCATAGGTAATTTGGTGCAACTCGTACCTAGATGAGGGGCAGTGAACGACCGTTATACTTGGCGACCAAGAAGCTAGATACTCATGTCTGAATTACATCCGTCCTTCATAAAGGAATGAATGAACCATCCTTCCTTTATGGCGCTTAGCGTTCCTATTGGCAGTTAATTCTTGTCACTTAGTAACGTCTCCGATATCTCCGTGCTTGTTTGATATTTTTTTAACAGGATCGTGGTCTGTAATCGATTTTGATTTATCTTGGTATGTGAGAGAAGTGAGGCTTGAATTATGGGTGAGCTTGTTGGCGTGACTCACATGGTGCTGGTATTGCGTTGGTTCTAACGTACGGCTGGCCTGCTGTCACGTCTTGCAGAATATGATGGCAACCACTGCTGAGACTCCTCCATGTATTCTTGAAAAGAAGCCCCAGCGGCTAAGAGTGAGTATCGGCATCGCCTCGTGCGTGGCCGTACACTTCCATCGTCCATCCGTGGGCCTATCTTAAACCCTTTGTGGTGCAGTTTCCTAGAACTCTCTGCCTGTCATATTACTTCCAACTAACACTTGTAACAAAGTTCCCTCAACTCGCTCGAAGATAGCAGTTTTTACCTTAACCCGTTGAAAAACATGTCGTTCAAGCAATTCGATCTCGACTACTCGAGTCTTTGTAGTAATAACCCGCTAACGAAGTTACGACGCATTTCTTACACGTTGCCGTTTCTAATGTGTACATTTTAACGTTCATTTTGAGTAACGTTAGATTGCATAGAATTTAACTTTTGATGCATACTGACTCAATGTGCCGAGATTTAATTTCTGTAGTATATTCCTGCATTAATTTTTGTGTTACGAGTTGGTGCCATTAACCTTTGTGGTCATCGCATGGAATTCCGTCGTTTGGGCTCACCGCCTCAGTCTTATTCTTCTCATCTTGCTTGTCTATTTTTGGATAACTCGTTGCTCCCGCATTTTAATCCCGGTCTTTTAAAGATATAGCTGGCGGTGACGTAGAAGTAAATCCGTTATCTATACAATTTTTCTCGTCCTGATTTTGTGTTCATGCCTCTTTATCAGTCCCATCCTCCGGCACTGTTTTCTTGGTTAGATACTAAGAACGATGTGTCGTCCTATATAACCCCTTATCTACGGATGCCTCGATCATCACTAATGCTATTTGTAGTTAAGGACCTGACTACTTGAGTAATCTCATTTAACAAAGTGTCTCTTGACACTCGCGTGATGTTGGCGAATGATCTTGAAATAACCAGAAAACTGGTGTGAGCCTCAATATCGTCCGTGTGTGTTCAGGACCTTCTCGACTTCCGGCCCGCTATTAATTCTGGCTGGGAAGACGCCGTCGATATACATTCGTGTAGATCAGTTGATTAACATTAATTAAATGCATGCCTTACTGTAGATGAACATGAATATATTGAACGAATGGCTGAAAGCCTATGCGATTTGCAGTACCTACTCTTAAGAGTCAGGTCGTCGATTAATTTCCGCTACATTTGCTTTCATGCATCATCTTTGAACAGCCTGATTAACGTTTTTATAGGAAAGCATGTTGTACTTAATGTCAAGTACAAAACTCTCTTTAACGAGTAACGGTCGAGAAGAATTTTTGCGTGAATGAAGAAGCAAATTGAAGCCATATATGATCTTGAGAGTCGGCTTAGTAAGCTGTTAACTGAATACTAAAAATTGTATTTATCTAATGTCGAAATTCATTAGATATTTAACCAGTTGATTCAATATAATTCCGTGAATTAGTAATGATAAGTAGCTAGTGGATAAGTAGTGAAGAAGAATAGAACGCCTTAACTTATCCGTAATTAAAATGACATCATTGTCTATGGGCGTTTTTTTAATTATTCTAACATCGAGAATATTAATTTTTGTATATTATGTCACGCAAGAAATTGGTATCATTGCCGCCCATTATTGTCGGTGTTCTATCGCTTACCTGTGAAATTGGCTCGTTCGAGATTTTTCAACGCGGCTGAGCTTCTGGTCTGAGTTTTCCGACATGACGGGCGCTCCGCTGCAGCGTCCTTACTACGCTGCTGTAGCATTAGTTTTGACTTGCAGCTTCCCAGCGATAATTAAATCTTTGACATTGCTCTCATTGTCAAAATCAATGTCAATCTCATTGTCAAAAACGGGTTCTTATTGAACAGATATAGGTGGTTATTATCTGGAACGTTGCTAGTCGGTTCCCAGACGCAAGCCTACTGAGCGTCTCGTCAGTTTCGTTAATTTACTAACTTTTTTAGTTATTTTCATGTAAATAAATTCTGCAAAGTTTTTTTATGCATTTTGTGTGTATAACTCTATTCACGTTGAGTATTTGTGATTGTAACTGATGTTTCGTGTCATTCAGGGTTGAGGTACAAGTTAGTAAAGTCGTCGGATATCAACTAGTGTTCTCGAATGAAGGAAATATTTAACCCTAAACTCATGAAAAGGGTTAAATACACGCTTGATAAAAGGACTTTGTTTTTTGTTGCAATGAGGCCACTACTTGTCTCTTTTTTTAAGTGAAAGGGACGGCATTATATACAGAGTGATTCACGGAAACTTCTTGATTTGAAAGCTCAATAAAAAAAGAACTAGTATAGATATCATTACAATATAAATTTTCTTGAAGAAGACAATACCTGAATTTTTATATCATTTAGTTTTAAGACGACATCGGACAAATGACGGCCCTCAAAATCAATGCAATCAGTTAGTCGATTTTTTCAAGTTCCGTTCAACTCGCTCAAGCATATCGACGTGTATGTTGGCGATGGCTTGCCGTATGTACTTCAAATGAGGAGGGGTCCTTGAACAGTCATTGAAAACAATTGATTTGGGAGAAGATAACCTCATAAAAAATCGCACGGAGCCAAATCTGGGGATCGGGGCGGCTCAAGAAGGTCACCTCTCGAGGAGATGAGGCGCTTACAAAACGTCTCAGATGGAGACCACTCTGAAAAACGGTAATTAGAAAAGTACACCTCGACAGCAAACGCACGCTGCTCACTTGTCCAATGCATATTGGCAACTGACAAGGCTAGACACAAAACTTCATGACCTTGCCTTTCATATGGAATACTGCCCACCCTTTTCCTACACTACAGCATCTGGCTGCATGGCGCGAAATACAAAACAGGTTTCCATGAAAAAAAGTTTCCATGAAGGTTTCCATGAAAAAGGTTTCCATGAAATACAAAAGTTTCCATGAATCACTCTGTCTATAATTTTTTTATCGAGTACCATCCATTCGTTGGGGACGGTCAACTGCTTAAAATTCGAATCCACTTATTTTGTATATTGAATTTCGGAGATCTCTTTGCTCGCAATGGTTTAAATTGATGTTGTAGACGGGTTTTGGGATCACTGTTGAAGATATTAACACAACTAAACTGGAATGACGTTTCAAGACGGCTTGTTCATCTCCAGGATTAGTCAAAGTTTAACATTAAGAATCCGTGAAATACTTGGGCAGAAACCTGGTCGAGATGACAAATTATGGCTCAAGAGCTGTAACTGGAAATTTGACCGATCCGATGGGATACTGCCAATTCGATCAATAGGTTGGAGAAAATCACTTTCTACTTTTTGTGTATAGTTGTTAAGGTAGCACGCTTTATTTCTCAGATGCGATTAGTTTGTTCAGCGTTGGGCTAAGAACAGAGAGCCGTTATGGAACCAATTTTGTAAGGTTTGTCTCGATGTCTACTGATAATCCTTTTCTTTTTTCTGCGAATCTGTCGTATGTTCGCTTGGAAATTTTTTTCGGTGTTTAGTTTAATCTAATTCGTGAGACAATTATTGTTGTAACCAAAATTCAACGATTATGGTTCTGGATCTGATTTTCTTTCAAGAGGTTCATTGAACTGGTGTTGTGTGGTGACTTGTGATGGTCTTGCATGAAAGACTAAGATAGTTTTGATCTCGTACCATTGATCTCTCAACAGTACACGGTGTGTTCTCGGTGTGTACACCATGCAATATTTACCTATCTAATTGGACTAATATCAAAAATCATATATTAACATATAAGGTCAAAGTGCCATGCACTGAAAAATTTGCGCGTACCTCACTGGGACTTTAATCCAATTCCTACCTTGGAATAATGTTTACGGGGTGGAAGATTGCCGCGATGTGGTAGTTATTAATACACAGAATTGCTTAATTTCTTCATAGAATATTTTATGAGCCCCTTAACGTTACGATCTCATTTGCTTACTGCGTATCCTCGTAATCGTTCATCCTAATTTAGTAGTAATTCCCCAACCACTCAGAAGTGCGATTTATAGACATGTCACGTAACTTTTAATTTTATGCCTATTTAGGCAGACTTCATTGAAAATAGATATATTCGGAAACCTGACAACAATGTCGAGCTTTCGGACGTTCTTTTGGACACAGCTGTGGTCGCAGTACAAAATTTCAAGTACCATGGACATGTTTTCTGAAGGCGTGAGCTTTTCAATCTGCCAAAAGTGATCGATTAACAGATGAGTGTGGGTGGGAACTACTCCCCTACGGTAATTGCCATTGTTGGCAGGATAAAAATGTTCAGTTCTTCAATGAGCACTATTCTCGGTTCTGAATTGGCGAAACCTACGTTGGAGAAAGCAAAGAACACGCTAGCTTTTTTCCAGTCGTGCTACGCTCTTACAGTTATTTCATTTAATATCCGTGCATTTAACTGCTAATATAAGTGACACAGGAGATCATATTATTGTAATGTTGAGGAAGCTAGCTGGTATAATTTCCTGCCGTGACGTGTGCTATTGCCCGGCCCGCCCCGCCCACGTCATCGCGTTCTGGCGGCGGCGGCGGCAGCAGTTCTGACGTTCGTACGGCCCGACGTTCGTGAGTTGGGCGGACGCCAAGACATGCTGCTACAGCGACTGCAGCTGCTGCTGTGCCTGGTGTGTTGCTGCTACAGCGACTGCAGCTGCTGCTGTGCCTGGTGTGGTGCCTGTCTCTTATACACATCTAGATGTGTATAAGAGACAGCTCAAATGCTGTCATTCAAATGCTGTCATTCAAATGCTGTCATTCAAATGCTGTCATTCAAATGCTGTCATTCAAATGCTGTCATTCAAATGCTGTCATCATTCAAATGCTGTCATTCAAATGCTGTCATTCAAATGCTTTCATTCCATAGCGAGAGAGCGCGGGTGGAAGGCAGGAAGGATGTGAGGCGGCGGGAGAGCGCGGGTGGAAGGCAGGAAGGATGTGAGGCGGCGGGAGAGCGCGGGTGGAAGGCAGGAAGGATGAGGCGGGTCGACGATGCCATGGCCGGGTCGAGAGCCTGCTTTTCTGGCACCGGGTTCGGCCGTCTAGCGCTCGTCTGCCGTCAGTTCGGCCGGAGCGGCTGTAGTAGCTTGATGTTCAGCAATGCCACCTCCTGATGATGGCTAGCAGCAGCAAGACGGCTGCTTACTTGCTACTAGTGGCAGTGGTGGGCGTCTGTGCCGATCAAACAGAAAGCGATGTAAGGACAGCTACCGAGGCTCCGTGTCCTCAATGTTTCCATCGTTCACAGCCTCCAGTGTCTTTAATGCCTGCTGATATGCACGCGTTGCGATTAACTGCTATCAAAACACAGTTACTAAATAAGCTAAGACTGCAGCACAGGCCGAATGTTTCGCTGGACGTTCCCAGGCAGGTGCTGCTGGAAACGCTCCAGCGGTCTGGAGACCAGCCTGTTACTAACCAATTGAGTAGTGAAAACCTGCAAGATGAAGATGATGTCTTGCCCGTTACTTCTGAAATAATTACCTTCGCCTCCCCGGGTGAGTAACTGACATCGATGAACTTTATGATTTTCGGGCGCGATTTTGAATTTTATTCATTTTGTATATCTAACGTGCCTCGTGCATTTTATTTTGATGGTTATTTTATTTCCTGATTCCAATTGTGTTTACAAATTTTATCTGTTTGGCTTTTTCGTTTTGTAAATTATCTACATGAAAATGACATATTATTTACTGCAGAAAGTCTCTTTTATTTACGATGAACTATAGAAATTTTATTCAGTCATGCGTATGGCGTGAAAATTAAATCTAATTTTAAAAATCAAATTAAATAATTAGCATGAAAGATTTGTTCATTTCATGGCGACACGCATATTAAATTCTATGATCGTTTAGGAAATATAATCCGTTACCAAAACTTCTAGTAACCTGAAATTTTAGGGAATACTTGGCTTATTTCTTCTACGTTTAAAGGAAACAGTCATTACGCATGTTTTTCATGCTCGGACGGGTAAGACCTCGAATAATCATAAAGAAAAATTGTGCTACATTATTAAACTGCCGTGAAATATCGTTAAACTGCCGTGAATTATAATTGAGCTGCCATGAAATATCATTAACCTGCAGTGAAATATTGTCAAACTGCCGTGCAATATCATTGAGCTGCCGTGAAATTTCATCAAACAGCCGTGAAATATCGTCAAACTGCCGTGCAATATCATAGAGCTGCCGTGAAATTTCATCAAACTGCCGTGAAATATCGTCAAACTGCCGTGCTATATCATAGAGCTGCCGTGAAATATCGTCAAACTGCCGTGCTATATCATTGAGCTGCCGTGAAATATCGTCAAACTGCCGTGCTATATCATTGAGCTACCGTGAAATATCGTCAAACTGTCGTGCTATATCATTGAGCTACCGTGAAATATCGTCAAACTGCCGTGCTATATCATTGAGCTGCCGTGAAATTTCATTAAACAGACGTGAAATATCGTCAAACTGCCGTGCAATATCATTGAATAACCCACATCTACATTACCAATATCCCATTAGTATTTAGGGCTGAGTGCATTGAACAATTAAACGCTTACTAGTTTGTAATTATTAAGTTGTGTCTCAAATTCCTCATTCATCCAAGTATTTACATGCATTGGTTATTTCACTAATGTTCGAAGCGTATTGCTCATCCCAGGGAACCGCAGGACATGCCCCCTATAGTAATTATTTGTTGTGATATACCGGGTCATCATTCTCACATCTCCCATTAAATGAACTCGATCGTGTTCTATTCCGTTTTATAAATAAATATATGAAGTAAGTTCAAATTTAAGAAAATTTGAGCCAATTACCTTCATTTAAATGCTTACATTACTGGAGTGAAATCATTTATTTAACACCTGTGGAATTGTACGATTGTGGAACCTCCCAACGCGATTGCGATTATGTAATTTGCTTAAAGGAGCAAAGCTCGTTTTGCAGCCACCCTTTTTGACATAGATGAGCGCATTTAGTATAGTATAGTATAGTATAGTATAGTATAGTATAGTATAGTATAGTATAGTATAGTATAGTATAGTATAGTATAGTATAGTATATGCTGTGCCTAGTGTGATGCTGCTAGAGCAACTGCAGCTGATGTGCCTGTTGTAGAGCTGTAGCTGCTGCTTTGCCTACTATTTAAGCCATGACTTTATCGGTTTTGTTTCTTGGATGCAAACACGATGCTTGTGATCAGATATTATTCTTTGTCGTCTTGGTGCGGCAGCTCTGAGGACGACTGCTGAATGATTAATTCAATGGTGTTCATCGGCGTCTGTAATGCCGCACTGCTGCACGAGTGAGTCTCGCGGTGGCGTACACGGCATTGATGAACACCGCCACTTAATCCCACAATAACTAGCACTGCGTTTATTATGTGTAGTTCCACGCTCTATTGTCAGCAGTTTCTAACGATAACATTATGGGCGAAGAATCTGTTATTTATAAGAGTATTTTCGTGCTTTTAATATGTACTACAGGAGGCAAGAAAAAATCGGATGTGTCGAAATAGTGACTCGTGTACTTGAAACCACCATTTAGGGACCACAGTTAGCTTAACCGGACTTGGGGCTCAAATTTAGCTCATGGTCAGTAGATGAAGTAAATTAGAAAATTTGTATACTGGTTAATTGGTTAATTAGTCTCTAGCTCGAAGCAGCGTTATTGGATTGATGAAAGATGCATTTTCCATTTCCTGTTGACTGGAAGCGCGTCGCATGCTTCTCGACTAGGAGTTTGAATGTCCAAGGAACGTTGCGTGAAACGCATGCTGATGCGCCCGCGTGAATGGAGCTGATTCTTGCATCAGTATTGGGGATTTGGAGTTTGAGACGTTGCGAAATAGCAAACTTTTATTTAATTAATGGTAATTATGATTGTTAGATCTCATTAATGTTTGTTTTAGTGCTACACTCGAATGCTTATAGCGGTCTATGAAAAAAATATTTTCCGCGTAGAACCTGTTGAGGGAATCGGCATAGAGAGATTAAACGTTGATGTGAATGTGGTGTTTCGTAATGATGCTATGGATCTTGCCTATCTCTACGTTCACAGCACGCGTGTTAGGTAATTTCATCTTGCATGAAAGAAATGCTAAGGCTGCTCCCTAAAATTCATTATCATTCAATTTATGGTACATTGAAAGTATGTGGTGAAATATAATAATAGCACACTTGTTGCTTACTGGCCGACGTTTTGCTCGTTTCGCGGGCCAGATTCTTAATTTAAGGCAGACTTAGTGTATTTAGTTGGCATTTTTATATATCTTCACTTGCATTGCTAATCTTGAATAATTCCGTGAAAAAATTTATACAGAGTGAGTTTTCTGCATTGGAAGGAATGAAAGCAATTCGCGTTCTCAGCATTCTGAATTGGGACAGCGTTAAAATGACAATATTTTGCAACGTTGGGCTGTCACTAAAATTAAAGTAGTTCTATTTTGGGGAAATCATTTCTTTTAAATGTAATCGCATGCAAATTTGAGTCGTCGACTATGATGAATTTGTTAACAAATATGAAAATAATGTGACGTTTTGTTTGCAGGTGTTCCGCCAACGCACGCCCGAGGACGCCATCAACCTGGTGTCGCGGCTGCTAGAGTACACGCCCAGCGCTCGCATCTCTCCTCTCCAGGCCTGCACGCATCGCTTCTTTGATGAGCTGCGCGAGCCTAACACCAGACTACCCAACAACAGGCAGCTGCCTCCCCTCTTCAACTTCACAGAAATGGGTGAGGTGGAACATTTTCTTTCTTAATGTGTGCTTATTTATTAATATCTGGTTTGTGTTGTACACATTATCATTGACCGGAGCTATCGCCGTTGTTGTTAACTCATTGTGCCGTGTGTTGTGCAGAGCTGAAGATACAGCCGGAGCTGGCAAGCAAGCTGATCCCGAGCCATTACCAGTCAGAGGGCGGCAACAGCGGCGCCGTTGGTACGGAGACGTCCTCGGGAGCTGCGGGCGGCAGCGTGGCGAGCGCCAACACTGCTACAGCTGCGGGCGCCGAGTAGCGAGCGTCTCAATGGCCTGGTTGCCTCACATTCTTTTAATGAATAATAGTTCTTTTGTATTAAAATATCTATCCCTTTTGTGAATATTTTTTTTGTTTTTAACTCAAATTGTCGCGACCGACGCTCGGTTAGGTTCGACGACACTGCAAAGTCACGTGTGTGATGTAAACTTGGAAGCCCGCTTGGTAGAGGGATTGCTCGTAGTCAATACGCGGGAAGATGAGGCACGTGTTTTATTTTTAGTTCTTTTAGCATGGGCAAGTAGGTGAGCAGTTGAACTGACGAGCGTTGTGTAGTGATGATGTATGTTACCCCCGTTAGAGTGTCGATGTCGTTAGCATAGCCCATAACTTGTGCTGCAGCTTGCAGGTCTCACTCATTGCCACCGCGCTCGTGTGGCTCCCCTGGTCCTCGTTGAAGTATTCCTGCCTCATTGCGGCGTGAAATTTCCTCCCTCTTTAATTTGGTTTACCAATCCGTTGATGCTGCGTGTCGCCAATTCATTGAATTCAAAGGACACGAAGTTTGTAAAATTCTTAAGCTTAATGAATTAGATGAAAAATTATTAGTTGTTGCCGAGGCTCGTTATTGTCAAGCATGGGTTAAGTTGTTGACAACTCGAAGCTTGAGTTTCTAGTGTGCAATGCTATATGACTAATGAGAAGTGGCGAATATTTGTGCACTGTATGAACCAGTGCTCAGGGAGTTGGCGCATGCTGCCGAGAGATGGTGGCCTAAAGACAGCCATTTGTGTGGCGATACGCAGGCCTCCGAGTGCGGACGTAGAATCTACTTAGAACGCCTCTACCAGCTTCTCGAATTTATTATACTGTTTGTGTTCAGGATGAAGTTGTATAGTAAATGTAAATACCACTTGATCATGTCTGCGTGCTGTAGCAGCTCTGCAAATAATGCTCAGCCATTTGCATTGTTCTCTGTAGTCATATTTTGGTTCAGTCACCCGGAGATTTGTTAACTGTGTTTGAGCTGCAGATATCTGTTGCCTTTCCTGCCGTTAACTCTGGCATATTCTCTACTCTAACTTACAATCTATTTAGCTTCTATTGGGTTCAGTGTATTTCTGATGAATTATATGATCATTTCTCACCCCGTATATATAATTTTTTACTCTCTAATTTACAATTAGGTCATTAGTTGTGATCTTCAAGTAGCCTAACGTGTATTTGAGCGTAGCTGTTAACAGAAGGTCTCCTGTACCCTTGCGCATAACATGCTTTGTAAACGTGCATTGTAAACGAGCGTGTATATATGATGTGCTCTCATGAATACTAAGGCTTGAGTGCAGCCAATTTAGAGACCTTACCTCGTGCCATGCCCGCTTGAGCAGCTGGTCACATGAGCACCCCTCGGCAGCCCATTCTTTTTGCGATGCTGCACGCAGCATTTTATCTTCACACAGCAAGAACCTCTACTCACGATGTAGATCTTCTCTTCTAAAGTTACTCGACTCGGCGCATCTTGTGTTGCTTTGCGCTTCAAAAGTCGCTGCGTTCGTCAGATGGTGCCCTGGGTGCCTCCCGAAGTTGCCTTGCTTCCGATGCTCTTGCTTTCCTCTGTCGTGAGAGCGAGTTCCGTAACTCCTGTTTCTCTCTTATCTTGACTTACCTGGGCTGCTTAAGACTGCTGTGTCATTTATTATGAAGCCATTGAAGTAGGACTTTCACTCTTTCCACTTCCTAAACATTATATGTTGTTTACGCCCCCTCTTTTAGTCTGACTTGCTTGGCTCTTCAGCTCTTACCTCTAAACTCTCCTCATCTATGTGATGAACACGCTTGTGAATCTTACAAAGCTGCTGTATTCATGACTGTTACAATGAACAAATGCGATTTCTTTGCTCATAATAAATTTATGCACTTTTTTCTCTGTATAAAGCTTGAACCTGAAGGCCATATTTGCTAGGGAGTGTACTCCTTGTTTATCCATATGGTGGATATGTTGGGCGAGAGCTCGATAGTGTCTAACACTGTGTAGAAGTACCGCTTGGCAATAACTTAGTTAGACGTGAACCTGCGCATACTTGAGACACTAAGCTTTGCTGGCCTTTGTGCGTTACACCTCTAGTATGAGTACTTTAGCTAAGTTGTCCCTAGTGTAATGAGAGCTATCGAGAAAGATCATTGGAATTAACGTACATAATAACGGAGTGAGAGCTTTTGAACCCTGTTGTTCTTTTGATGCCGTAGACAGAGCCTTGCGTCGGAGTAGTTGGTTTGAAGCCGGCGCTCTATCTATGGTTGCTCTGACTATGTTGTGGTCTGCGTTGTACAACGGTTGTCCCAATGTTTTTTGTTGTTTGCGTGAATTTATTTAGGGTAGTTAAGGTTGTACAATGGCATCTGTGTACCAGGCGCTGTACCCAAGTCTCGTGAGGAGATAGCAGGCTCGAGGTCTCTATTATCTCGTCAGCACAGCGATCGCTCATTGGGATACGAATCGAAGTTGTGACGTATGAGGACGCGGCTCCTTCACAAGTTCCCTCTCTCTTGGTTCCTTTATTTCAGTCAACTTAATTTTCGGACGTTGTGCACACTGTAACTAATGTTTTGATTTATTACGCTGGAACCACTAGAAAACCTTGCCGATTGGTCTTCTATGTATAGAATGGCGATGGATGGTCGTGTCCTCGTACGACGCTGAGATGAGCCCAAGCCTCAATTGTCGTCTTGCTTTGGCGTGTTGCAACTCAGTCTTCTTGGACAAAAAACAGCAGTGGCTTTGCTCTCGGACTTGATGTTTCTTTACATTAACTATTGACGTTTCACTTGTATTACTTATCGAGATAGCATTTTGCATATATACTAATAAATTGTGATTCGACTAAAAATATTGCACTACGCATACATTTAATTATCTGAACATTAGTGTCACGGACGCGGTCGAATGCTCCACGTGGATCGTGTTTTTATTTGTATCATGAGTGAAGTTTAGTGGCAAGCGTTATGCAGGGCGGTTGCAAGGAACTGATTATCAATGTAATGATGGAAAGTACCATGACGTAACGTCTTGTATGGTCAGATATTTGTCATACTGTTTAATTGACCAATTAAAATTGTTATAGTTTTATCTGAACTTCCTTTGCCTATAAATATAAAGATCCCGTCACTCTAACGGAAATCTTGTACCCTTGGTATTAGCCGTTGTAACTTCAAAGCTATGTAGACTGGGCCATATATTTGACAGTGCGTACTCAGGAGCAGTTGATACGTGCGCGTCTCTCCCCGAATGTTGTGCGTCGCAAGCGTGTGTGTTGGCACCATTTTATCCATATAGCCATTTTAGCGCTCGCCTCCTGTAAATTAGGCTCAACTCTCGTCGATTTCATTTCTTGAGATAATTATGGTCATGTTTTTTGCTTACTTTCATCGGTATTTTAGAGAATTGTTGAATTGGATTTGCTGAGTCACCCACCTACCTCTCGATAACATGTACGCTAAGGCTTACGATCCGTAGGGTCGTCTCAGTACTTCTGCTGGTGTGAGTTCAGTTGTGGACCAGATTTTCCTGCTACCCTCTTTTGTCGACTATAAATTAAATATTGCCCTCGTGACTGCCTTCTTACCCTTGATTCCCGAGGCCTACTTCTTCGCCGCCGTGTTACTTTTAAGACTGGATCCAGTTAAATGCCTTCGCGTCGTCTCCTTTGCCCGTTGCGGAGGTTGTGCCGGTAAGTTGTGCACGTGGTGGATCTATTCAGAATTACGCTTCGTAGCCATTTCTATAAATTAGCTACTTTGCCAGAAGCTGATTTTACTCTTCCACTACCAGTATGCTGGTCTAATGAGGCCGTCCACTCCAGTCGTAACCGATCCTGCCGCTTCAGCTAGCGGCGGGTTACCGAAGACTTTGAAAATTTTGCTCCCATTAGTTGACATTTCATTTAGCAATTTGGAAGTAGGGCAGTGAGTTAGGAGTCTTAATTTTGCTTGTCTACCGTAACAGCTGGATGGAACTCGTGATGCATTACCTGGAGATAATGGGGAACTCGATTGAAGTGTATTGCTTATATATTCTTGTGCATGTTGAGTTATGAAAAAAGAGTAATTAGTGGACACATTTTTGATGGCGTTATACTTGAAGAATATTTGTGTTAGTGGTCTAAAATTATCGAATAGAAAGGCACCATCTCGTCGAATGTTCATGAATTATTGAAGTTGTCACGCTTCTGCTCTCGTGGTACCGAATGGCCAAACACAGAGGCTGGCATGAATGAACTGGACTCGCGGTAGAGAGGAAATGTAAACTGAATCGAAGTAGAACGTACTAGAAGTTGATAGGTCAGAAAGTTGATCAAGAAATACTTATAACCCTCCGCACATAGATCCATAATCGGATGCTAGGAAATTAATTAAGTGTAATTAGAGGTGAACACTCGTAAGAATTGCTCCTGAGAATTGCATCGTCAGCTCGCGAACATAAAATAACTTTTGGGGGGGGGGACTTTTTTCCCACTTAAACAGTGGGAAAACAAGAAGGACGAGTAATTCTGTCGGGTATTCTGAGGACCAATTTACTCTTTATTTAAATTTAGCCAAAATTATCAACGACGACAGAGCCTTTAAACCTGGCTGGTGAATTGCATAACAAATAGACAAGTTAAATGGATGGCCTCCAAGTTCGTAGTTTGTTTTCGCAACGCAGGGGGAACAACGATAGAATTAATAATGGATATCTATCAAAAATTTTGCTTTTTTGCCACTGGTTAATTAGAATTAAAACGATCATAATGCATTTTTTCTAGAATAAGAAAAAAAATTTTTTCCCTAAGCATGTTACCACGGTAACTGCGCGGATGTGAATTACCACGAGTGATGCATATATTACTTCAGCGCTGCTGAGTGCTGCGAGTGCCGCGGAGTGGTGCGAGTGCCGCGGAGTGGTGCGAGTGCCGCGGAGTGCCGCGAGTGCCAGACTCATTCTGAGACTCACGTAGACTCACTCTTTCCTTTGACCTTAATTTATAATAAAAATGTTGGCCTACATGATGTCTATTATACTTCTTGGGAATTTAATTTTACTTCAGACATCTTGTTATAGAATCAGCATTAGAGAGAAAATTGCTATCGATTGGTTGGGGTTTGATGTCAGTTTGGATTAGAATTGATACTGGACCATTAGTGACCACTGATGAATAAATTCAACTGTCCAATGTTGCTCATCTCTGTTAAGCTTCACAATTATACAGGTGCCGTTCATGAATGAAAAAAATTATCGATAAATAATATTAACATCGAATGCAGATCACCAATTGAATCTGTTTTGTTATTATCTAGAATCCCTCCATGCTCATTGTTTTCGTTAACTGTGAGTAAACGATTTAAGTAAATGCCGGTCACTTGCTCTCATTCAATTCAATGGTACTGAAATTTTGTCATATAGTATAGTATAGTATAGTATAGTATAGTATAGTATAGTATAGTATAGTATAGTATAGTATAGTATAGTATCTTCGGCATTTAAGAATAGGCCTGGATAGGCCTGTCGCCGATTCTTGTACTTTTCTTGGCTAGACTGGCCTTTTGATCAAATCTTTTAAGAGAAATCATTTAAGAGAAAAAAAATTTTGATCATTAAAGAGAAAAAAATTCTGAGGCGATTTAATAATATATTATCGTTCCAACAGATTATTATGTAGACTGCAATTAGGACTTCTTATGTAGATTTCAGCTCCGAATTATTATAGAGACTTCAGTAAATAGTATCGAACGAACATGAGATAGACACTAAACACGACAAACGCTTCCACTGTGTGACAAGAGCTTCAAGCCGACACAGCAGTTACATGCCAACAAAGCCTACGACTATAAATGAATGCGAATGTTTTAACATCTGCCAATCTTCGAATACCAATACTTACTTTCAAGTTTTCTTCATCTCGTTATACGCGTCATGTTTATCACAATGGCGCCATAGAACGACATTTTACTATACATTTTTCCTGTATTCATTTGTATTCGCCTAATATATATTTTGATTAGCCTGTTGCAACCCCTCCTCGGCGAATTTCAGACAACGCCCCTAGCCCGAGGGGACCCATGCCGCAACTGCCTTATATTGCCTCATGCAGACGCCAGACGACGGACTGGCAAGGCAAGCACGCGTCGTCCGTCAAACTCTCGATCCAGTAACAATAAGGCACCGCATTTGGGGTAATTTTTTTGCGCTGCGTTAATGAGGATGGACAAGATAGCGTGCTTGCATGTTGAAATGTTTTGAATTGGATTAAAATAACTGTAGCGAACAACATATAATGTTTAGAGTGATTTTTATAAATAATAATAATAATGTAATACTAATTGCGGTTTCAGCGTTTATTAGGCCGTAGGCCTGTCGCCGATTCTTAACATGGCAGATCATTCACAGCTTGTTGCGGTCTCGAACTCGCAACTCGCTGCTATAATTCTGCTGTGCTTTAACCGCCCGGCCTCCTCGCCGATTCTGACCAGAAACTGGCGCACAGATCTGGGATCAAACCCGCGCCTCTCTGCTCCAATCCTGGTACTCTGAACTGTAACCACTGGGCCACCAATGGTTACAAAAAAAAAAAAATAAGATTCAAGTTGCCATTAATATGTTCATTTAAGAAAAGGGGGACTATAATCCCAATGCCACGGAACGTTACACACAATGCCACCAGCGTGGCAGTTCATTCGATGTGCACTCCATTTTGTCAACAGAATTTGCGACGTTATCATGTAATAGCACAACAGCACATTCAAAAATTCAAGATAGTTAATTCTAACAAACTCAAAGATTAAAAATTTCTTCAAACTCAAAGATTGTTTCTGTAATTCTCCTGCATTCTCCTAGCTGTAGTCTCTACTGAAGAAATAAGCATTAGTCGGACGGAATTTCCCATTGAAGGTTTCTCCAGTTATATACATAGAAAAAGAAAAGGCCCTCCAAAAACGAAATTTTAATGATATTATATTCATATTAAAATAATTCCACTCACCAATAATCTTTAATCCTTGGCATCTCTCTCATATTTAGAGATAAAATAATTGACACGCTCCTTCAATTACTCGGGAATGATTTACGCTGCATTTCCTTGTGATTTACTCGTACTTAAGTGACACAGGGCTTAGATCGAGTTAACCTGCCACTTCAACGGTATATTTCCAACAAAACATTACTTAGTACTTTAACATGACATTAACTAAACATTTCAGAATAAGATTGAGCGAATTTTTTCCTCCAGAGGAGTTCTATGTGTTCATTTTTTAACGCCATCACATTGCCTAGAAGTCCTTATCGAAACATGGCAAGTTAAAACATTATGATTTCTAAAATTTTAAAATTATATTATTTCGCAGCTACCTTCAATTCTTTTTATTCGCAAATTTTTCCGTTTTGAATTATTACTGAAAAATGAAAGTGTTTTCATACTAAATTCAAGTGTTCATGTTAGGTTTAAAATAACGAGCGTGTCTCCAAAATATTCAAGCTGCGCCATGCGAAAAAAACTTCCTAAAATGCCTAGTTTTCGCTGTTGCGAGACAGCAATACCGCTCGTAATTCAGCACCTAACAAAACCTAGCCTAACTGCCACGTTCTCTATATAAAACTACACCTATGCAATACAGGCACTAATAATGGCGCTTCAATGACGAGACTCGCCTGAACTATGCTGCTTATCTTTTTTGTGAACAATCATCCCTGGCTGTATCGCTCTTGGCCTAACGCGGCGAGTGATGCATGTGATGACGGCGAGTGATGATTTCAAGAAATATTCACGAGCAGAATCATTCTTGAATCGTCGCTTGTTAGAGGCTTTCTGAAGAAGTCGATCGGCAGATGTAGGAAGGGTCTGTTACCACTTAAACATTAAAATATTACCAAACAATTACAATATAAACTCAAAAATAACGTCGTCTGTACTATCAGTCAATCCCCATCGCGGATTTCACCTATCGCGGCCGATGTATATGAGTGTAACGTAACACGTAGAGCTAAGGGATTACTGTAATCTAACTATTCGAGTTGAAAAAAGGTCTACGTAACAGACAAATAGTGAGTCCTTCGTTTACTATTTTCCACCGGTGAGAGATGAATATTAATCAATTCTAATTAAAAGGAGACATGTTAATATTTAAAGGAAAATCTGACAGAAATTCATGTCAGCAATAGCATGGAATCAAGTCGTCTGAAAACTTAGCAACTCGCAGTGCAATTCTTGCAGACAGATCGAAAATTTCTGCAGGGAGTGGCTGTTATCTGAAAGAATTGCATATTTACTTATGCTAAGCCTTAGGTCAGGCTGAATGGACAGCGCATGAAGAGAATGGATTCTCAGGCGCTCCTCACAACGTCAACGATGTTGTCATTTTAAGGAGTTTTGCCGCTGATGCTTTGTTTTTATTCTTCAGTTCAGAATTTTCGTGCAAACTTATCAGCTTGCAAGCTCAAGCAAAGTAACAACAGATTCAGGGGGATTCGTTGGGCTGCATGCAAAATTGCTAGAGCGACCCATGACTTTTCTGCCCTGAGCATTCTTTGCTAGGCGTTTCCCTAGCGGGCGATAAGACACTTGCGCAACCATAACGAATA